TGGCTCTCCCCGCCCGCGTGGCTCGTGTTGCCGCTAGCCGGCGGCCGCGCCTGCTGCTGCCTCTCTGTCTGTCTGTCTGTCTCTCCGTGTATCTGGGAAGTGCTCTGCACAAGGTTGATTTCTTAACATTCATGTGGCTTAATGAATTGACAGGCGTCCGCCAGAGCCCGTGCCCGAGCTCGGCAGAGCCTGCGCTGCCAAAGCCAGCCCGGCTCCGTGCGCGGTTCCTGCGCCCAGACCCCAGCCGCTGCCTGGCCACACTCCCCCCACCTCGCCACGGGGGTTCTCCAGACCCTCCCGAGGGGCGCGGAGGCCACAGGACCCTCCGTGCGCAGGGTGGGCCGTGGGACGCTGCAGCAGCCCGGCGTGCTCTCTTGTTAGAAAAAAGGCGGATCTCTCTAAAACCGGACTCCTCTTTTCTTCCTCTTGGTAATTCCTTTCCTCTTGGTTTTCCTCTCCTTCCCTTCACCCGCAATAACGCGCTCTCTCTCTGGCAGACGTCTTTTTCCAGTCCCACCAAAGAAGTCCCCTTGCCACTGGGCGAGTTCCTCAGCTGGGTCTCCGACGTCAGCAAGTCATGGATGGGCTCGAGGGGAGCCCAGGACGCGGCAGCTCCTCGGCCGTGCTCACCGGCGCAGGTAATGCCAACCTTTCCAGTCTCTCTCTTCGGAGCCGGGGTTCCCCGCTGTCCCGTGGCTCGCTGGGCGGGTGCTGGGGCTTTAGCTGGGTGCTGCTTTCTCCAGGCGGTGACACTGAGATGCCCGGTGGGCATCGTTTTTCTCCAAGTACAGTTTGGGGTACAGTCGCCCACGGTGAAGGCTTTCCAGCTGTGGTTGTGCCGGACCAGTGCTGCGCCCTGCTGCTTGGGCCACAGGAGGGCCAGCCCTGGTCGGGAGGTGTCACTTGCCGAGGCAGTGTGGGGTCAAGCAGGCTGTCGCGGGGCGGGCACACAGCACTGCCAGCTGGGCTCAATGGCTTCATCTCACGGACCAGTCTCCCTGTCTCATCCCATCTTTTCTGTTCGCTTTGTTTTAGTGTTGCTGGATGTCCATCCCAACTCCCCTCACCGCTGCCACGGAGCCCGTACCCCCGTCCTGGGGCAAGTGGGACGGCACTTGAGGACACTGGGACATGCTCCCTCTCCCCTTACACTTGCCAGAGTCCCTGGGCAGAGACCAGGGACGGTGCTGCCCGGGTGCAGGGGCTGCCCCGTGGCACTGGAGCCCCCCGGCCGGCAGCGGAGTGCCCCGGCCCACCCGCTGCCCCTGCCCCCTGGCAGCATGCAGCCCCCGTCCCCTGCCATGCTCCACCGGGGCCCCGGGCAGGGGCTGAAGCAGTAAGTGACGCGGCAGTGGTGGGGCTGCACTGGCTCGGGCTGTCGGGGCTGTAACCCCTGTGCTCGGCCCCCCACGGGGGCCATAGCCCCCACGAGGCACCTGTGCGGTCGCCTGGCCCTCCCCTCGCCCTATGCCAGTGTGCCCCGAGGTGCACCCCCTCCTCCCCAGGGACGTCCTCCCGGCACGGTGCCACGGCTCACCCACGGATCTCCACAGCACCTCTCCTCCTTCCCACCTGCTCTCATTTGCCATGTGTAAATCGAATCACGTTATTCGTCAGCATTCGTTGTTATTATTATTCTCATTATCCAGTTTTGCTTTTGCATGACATGCTAATGTGGGCAACTCTGTACCATAGCCCAGCCTGAGCCGGGGTTCCCGCTCCCTCGGGGCCCCGCGCTCCCCTGATTTCCCATTCTTCCCATCAGGGCAGCTGGGGCTGATCAATAATCCAAAAGCATCTCTTTTTGGGGGCAAAACACTAAAACCTGAATTGTATATACCGTGAAGTGTTTGTAAAACATGCAGTATGGACCCATGGCTCTCCCCAGCGAGGTCAGTAAAAGAGATCCTATGAAACCAGCTGGCAGCTCCGCGTGGTCTGTTCGCCCTCACTGCTCCCTGCGGGCAGCCGTGCCCCGGCCTCACCGCTGCGGGTCCAGGCTGGAGGCTCCTGGTTGCCTCCCGCGCCTTCATGCCGTGGGCCGTGCCGTCTGGGGTTCATGCCGCCGTGGGTCATGGTGGAAGATGCCAGGGCACCGGAGGTCTGACCAGCTCCTGGCACCAGCGCTGCAGCGGCGTGCCAGGCTTGTGCACAGCCGTGCCCAGGCATCCCCGCAGCGCCGCCGGGCACAGAGCAGGGCTGCGGGGTTGTCCCCAGAGCAGCTCCTGGGCCCCGGGCTGGCAGCGCTCCCGGCCCCAGGGTTTGCTCTGCGTGGAGGTGAGTGCGGGTGCAGCAGGGCTGGGGTCTCTCCCGCCCTGGGAGGCCGCAGCCCCGTGCCAGCAGGTTTTGGGGATGGAGAGCAGCAGTGTGTGAGCACAGCGGGTGGTGTGGAGGCTTCTGAGGCTGCGTCCTTCACAGGCGGACAGATCCATCCCTCTGGTGGTGTACCTCAAGGCACTTGTACCCTGTGCTGGTGTGTGCCGCTGCTGCGTGAGCGGGGCCGGGCCAGGGCTGTGGACGCCGGTGCCTTGGGCTCTGTGCTGCGGGTCCCTGCCATGCCACCCGGAGCGGGCAGGCTGTGCCATGGCTGCTCCCTGAGCCTGGCGGTGCAGGAGCTGTCGCGGCTGGGATGGCAGCGGTCGGGGAGCTGCCCTGGTCGGCTGCAAGGACGAAGGGCTGGGGAGGATAAGGGCGAGCTGGCAGGGCAGCCAGCCAGCAGCGGGACAGTGGGGCACAGTTAGGGGCAGCCTGGGCAAACCTGGGAGACGTCGGCGCAGACGCCAGCTCAGGAAGTTCCCTGGCGCTGGCTTGGACGGCTCAAGGAGTCTTTCCAGCCCTGCAAGCCATGTGCCACTCTTCTGCCCAGGCTGGGTCTCCCTGAGCCAGGAGGTTCGTCCTGTGGCAGTGCCTCCTGCCAGGCACCGCGCTGGGAGCACCGGAGCTGTGCGGGACCTTGCAGGGGCAGCGCCTGCTCCATGCAACGTCTGGGGGCTGGTGGGGTCTGCCCGGGAGCAGCGGGACTGTGCCGGGAGCAGCCGAGCTTGTTGGCCCCTGTAGCAGTGCCTGGGCTGGCCCAGACAGATGGCAGCAGCTTGGGAGCACATTAATTGCATTGCATGTCTGCAATTAGCAGCGGTGTCCCTCCCTCCCTCCCTGCCAGCCTGCCTGCAGCGGGCTGCACCGGGATGTGGCCGTTGGCCGCAGCTGGGGTGGGGGGGCCGTGTGGGTCACAGGCTGCTCTGCCCATCGCGGGGGCTCAGGACGGGTCCCAGGGAGGGCAGCAAGGGCTGCTCCCTGGGGATGGCATGGGCAGCCCGGGGCCGTGCTCCACCTCACTGCCCCCTCAGATATTCCCTGTTCCCTGATCCCCCCTCAAGGCCGGACACCTCTCACAAACCCCATGAGACCACCAAAACCCCTCCGCATCCAGGGCTAAACTCCGTGGCACAGCCCCACTCCATGGGCTGGAAACCCCTCACCTCCCCACAACATCTGTGGGGTCCCGCTCCCCTTCCCTGGGTGAGAAACCCCCCAGCTCCTGGGCGAATCCCCTGGGGCCTGCCTTTGGGACCAGTGCCCCTTTGCTGGAGGGGACCCCCTTCCCCACACGCCCCTCAGCCCCGTGCCCATGTTGGCCCTGGCACAGGCAGGCTCCCCGGTGTGGCGGGATGCTGGAGTGAGCTGGGCTGGTGCTGGGCAGGAGCTGCTCCACCCGCCAGGGCGATGGGCGAGCTGGGGCGATGGGCGAGCCAGGGCGATGGGTGAGCCGGGGCGATGGGATCCCACTGCGGTGGCTGGCAGAGGGACAGGCCCCGGTGTGGGGTGCAAGGGGCGAGGTGGGGAGGGACGCGCTGTGCATCCAGGCTGTCTGCTCCTGGGTGCCTGCCGGGCACACGGGGCTGCCTGCAGCCCAGTGCCATGGCGTGAGCTGTGCAGCATGTGGGGAAGGCCTGTCCTCCCGCCTGGTGCGGTGCCCCTCATCCGCGGGGCCATTCCAGCCATCTCGTGCCGCTCCATGTCACCCTCCCGCTCCCCCAGGACCCCCTGTCCCTCCCAAAGCCCCTTCCCGTGGGCAGCGTCTGCCCCAGAGCCGCCTGGCTTCCCGTGGGCACTGGCGGTGCCAGTGCGGAGCCAACGGGCGGCACATGGCAGGGCTCGGCATCAGCCGGGCTCGGCACAGGATGGCAAGCGGCACCGCTGGGACAGCGGGGAGCTGGGGACTTGCCCCGGGGCTGGCAGTGGCCCAGCCTCTAGCTGGTCCCCAAAGCAGTCACAGCCAAATCACGCAGCACGGTGCTAACGAGGGCTCAGGGAGGAGAAATGTGCCGTGTAGGGGAAACAGACCCCCGCCCCGTGCTGCCATACCCCTGGGCGGTGGAGGGCTGGTTGCAAGGGGAGCTGGGGTCTGTGGGGCAGGATTTGGCCAAGCCCCGCGAGCTGGTAGTGGCCCAGCAGCTCCAGCCCTGCCGCGCCGGGGTGGTGGGCGAGCAGCGGGTCCAGGGCAGAGCCGTGGCCGTGGCCGGCGGGGCTGCCTTGTCCCGTCGCTCCCTCCTGGTTGATGTGGTGGGTGTCCTGCCAGCCTCGGCACAGCCGGCAGAGCCTGAGTGCTGCGTGAGGGAGCAACGAGGCCAGCAGCCGGGCGAGAGGGAGCAGCAGCTCAGCTGTGAGCAGCGTCAGTTGCCGCGGAGCTGCATCACGCTCCGGGAGCGGCCGAGCAAGCGTGTAATTGGGCCAGGCTAATTATGATGGATAACTCTATTATATTCCCGTTTTTAATGCACTGCAGCTTAGCTCGCCCCACTGACGCGGGGGCCAGAGTTCACCCCTTTCAGGCCCTCTGAGCTAAACTGTTGCGTAGCGTTAAAACCACAGGGCGGTGGCATGCGAAGCGCTAAATGCCGCGCTGGTGGTGGCTGTTCAGGCAGCCCTGGAAGGGCTCCCTCGCTCCCCGAGCGGCAGCCCGGCGCAGACGGGGGTTTGCAAACAGCCTGTCACCGGCTCACACACAGCGCCGGCTGGACTGTCAGGCTGCTTGCTGTGCCCGGGCACCCTGCAGCCCCCAGCCCCACAGTGGGATGGTTTCTCACACCCTGAGCGTGCAGACGCTCGCCTGTCGGTAGCACCACTGGCTGCACCGCCCCGTCCTGCTGCAGTAGCCGCCTCTGGCCATGGTCCGGCGCATGGGACCCGTGGCTGCCGTCCTAAGCGAGGCCGCGGCAGGCGGCTTGGCCCCGCTGGCACACACCAGCTGCCAGCTCCGTGTGCCCGCCGCCCCGGGCACTGCTGGCTCCAGCCTGCAACACGCCGCTCTGGGAACTCTCTGTACCGCTTACCCAGCAGCCACAAAGCCGGACTGGCTTCTCCCACGCCCCCCCCTTGCCAGGGTGCTGAACCTTTCTTTAAGGAGATGAGTTGCCCAGCTCTGCTTCCTCCGCATGTGCAGGGACCCCGAGACCCCCTCGGGCCACGCCGCTGCCCTGGGGCACAGAGCCCGGTCACTGTAGGCAGGTCCCTGCCTCGCCCCGGCGAAATCCTGATGTGCGCCGGCCAAGGGCAGCACTGCCTCACGGGAATGCGCCTGCATCTCTGTGCCGTCGAGCGGCACGGCACGGTCTGTGCGGGGGCTGGTGTCGGCTGGGCTGGTGAATCCACGGGCTCCTTGCTGCAGGTCCCGGGGGCGATGGTGCTGCTTTGCCCCAGAGCCTGCTCTAGGGCTGCAGCCAGCGCGTCGCCCGTCCCACTGGGCACCAGGCAGCTCTGCAGGATGGGGTGCTGCTGGGCGCAGAGCCAGGGTGTCCATGGTGGGGACGGTGGTAATGCTCCGAGCCATGCAGCCGCCGGCAGGGCTGCGCGGGCAGCGCGGTGTGGGGACCTGTGCCTCCCTCCTGAGGCACCGCGTCACTGCTGTCAGGCAGCTCCAAATCCATTTTTTCCAGCTGTCATGTGCCAGGGCGTAGCCGGTGCAGCCTGCTGTGCCTGGTGGCCGTCCCAGGCCGGCAGCCGAGCCGGGGCTGGGGGCTGCTCCGGATCCACCCCCACTGTGCCGGGGCAGGCAGCTGCTGAGGTGTGGGAACGAGAGTGGGTGCTGCCAGAAAGGCTGCAGGAGCAGGAGGTAAAGCGTGAACGTGGGTTACGGTGGTGCCATGAGGATGGTGATGAGCACAAGACTTGAGCAAGGACAGGTCGACCACGTGTCCGAGACATTGTGCACAGGCTCTGCCTGCCAGGGGAAACAGCTGAGGACCGCGGGCTTGATAAACGGGAGATAAAACTGATTTGGTGCAGAAGCAACACAGCAATGCTGCCCTGGCCGCCCCCGGCGGCGGCAGCGCCGGAGGAGGCGCCAGCAATGTGGCTGAGCAGGAACAGCAGCGCGCCCAGCGCTTAGCAGAAAACGGGGCTGGACAGGGCCGGGGGTCGCTGGGAGGAAGCGGCAACCGATGCAGCTGCTGAGGAAGGAGCAGCGGGCAGGGGTCTGGGCAGAAACTGTGCCAGAAGCAGCAGCAGATTGCCGAGAAAAGGGGAAGTACGAGGTGGGCGAGCGGCAGAGCCCCTGGACGGGCTGGGAAGTGCTGTGGGTCCGTGTGCCGTGGCTCGGCTTGGGCTCAGGCAGGCGCTGGACCGTGGGCTCTGCAGCACATGGCCTTGCGAGGGGCAGATGTAGGGCCAGCGACCAAAACGGGCCGAAGGGGCCGGCAGGTATAGCTGGCAGCAAGTGAGATCTGGCAGCAATCCCGGGTAAAAAAGAGTCAGGAAATTCGGGAGTGCTGCAGGAACCGCCGTGTCGAGCGGTGCTCATCCCGGCGGAGGCGACCGAGATGAGCAGAGCCAAAACCCAGCAACGACTGGCAGGCGGCGGCTGCAAGGCTGGAGCAGAGGATGGTGGTCGGGGGTCCTGGCCAGGGGTGCTCTGCCCTGGCTGGTGAGGATGGGCAGGCGGCCGCCCCTCTGTGGGGAGGGCAGTCCCTGGGGGGGACACAGTGACACCCCAAGACGTCTGTGCTGGTGTGCTGGAGGAGCTGGTGGAGCCTCGGCCTCCTGCCTCTCTGCCAGGTCCCGACACCCCATCCCCACCCGCCCCTCTGCTCTCCTTGCAGAAGCGCTGGGCTGCAGATGACGCCGGTCTCTCTAGAAAAAGCGTGGAGGGGTCGTCGCCGGATGGTGAGGAGATGGAGAGGTACAGGCACCACTGGGCACAGCGCGACGAGCCGAGGCACCGCGGCGGGGTGGGTCAGGGCCGGGCTCTGCATGTGTGTGTGTGGGCATCTGCACCATGATGATGGGAGCTGGGGTGAATCCTGCACCACCCCGGGGGGTCTGGGTCAGCCCCGGGAC